TGGCGGCATATCTTGACCGTTCCCGGGGGCCCCTCAAACATGGTGCCTGTTGGAGACTGCGGGAGGTTTTTGCGCCGCCTCAACAAGGTCCCTAAGTACGCCTCCAGGCTGAAATCCGTTGATATGTTGACTGGGCATCTCACAGCTTGCAGACATCTTCTATGTTTGCTCGATAAGGCATCAGTGAAACTCTGTGTCTTCTCTAGGTCCTCCACTAGAGAGGTTACAATAAGGGTACCTTTCTTTCTGCAGTCTATTTTAGTAGGGGAACCCTCCCCCAAAAAAGAAACGGTAAAAGGGCACCAATTGCTGGGGGACCTAGTTCCCAGCGCCTTCACGGAGACCATCTACGTCTTGTTGACATCAGGCAGCGCCAAACCCTTCGCTTGGAAGAGCTAGCCAGTCAGCTACTGAGCGGATCACATTTGGCCATTCAGTTTTCAAAACGCGGATCTAGCTAGTTGCCCAGCTTTCTAGTGGCCACCGGCACGTTTGAACTGAGGCTTGCCGGCCCTCACCATCGGCCAAGGAGGATGTTTGACCGGGAGACCCATCTTACGAGGATTGTCCTGGACCCTCCCCAAACACTTTCCCCCTGGCACAAGGGAAAAAACCTATCGCGCCGGGGGGGGGGGGGGTGGGGGGGGAAGGGGGCCCGTTATGACACATATGTTCCTGCCTGTGACGAGGTGTTTTTCGAACCCCAAAGACCTATTTCTGAGAGTGACAGCAGGGCCAGTGGCTCCGTCGGAGAAACGAGCCAATCTACTGCCAAGGTGATGAATTTGGGCCGTCATACTTTCAACCACAAAAACTGGGGCGGAACCACGTTTGCACGTCCACGGGAACCAAAAGCATACTTTAGGTTCCGGGCCTACACCATGCTTCATGACATTCCGAGTGTTGGTGTGCGAAACGACCTTGGGGTGGATCTACCAGGACTCCAGCTTCTACTTTCAGCTCTTAGATTCCCCTGAAAACCATGCGCCTCAACAAACCCACATCCACACCATAGCCCCCCCCCAACAACCCCCCCCCCCAACCCCTCCCCACTGCCCCCACTCGTGCCTGGCTTTGGGCGTCGGCCGCGGAGCCTCTGAAGGTCGAGGTCGAAGCGCCGGCTCTGCGATTGGCACGTTGGCGTCAGAGAAAGGCCGCAGCTCCTGACATGGAAAAAGGGCGGAAAACGCAAATTATTCACTGGTTTAATCCCATGATCACTGTATGAAGAAAACGATCTTGCTTAAGAAAGGCCCCAGGTTCCGTTGATGTCCTTTTTTTCGCAGCCCCGCAAAAGGAAGCTCACTTTGACATGGCCCAAAAGCTGATGTTTGAACGAGCAAGGGACAATTCAAGGACCCCTAAACACACCCAAAGAGGGTTGGGTAAAGATCAGGAAGGCCTTTGGGATTCCGTTCGATGTCCCGAAGGAGAACCAACCAAACCTGTCTCAGTCCGAGTCAGAGGGATTCCAGTTCCCTGAAATCGCTAACACCCATGACCAACATAAATTTTAGTTATGAAAGTATATGACACAATTCCCCTATTTCGGCTTGGTCACTCACATGACTACTTTCCTCCTGATTGGCCCCATTTTCCCTTGGGCTGGTTTGGGGAGTGGAAATCTCTTGCCGAGTGATTTTAAGGCATTCGCCCTTCTCGCTCCTCTCCCTTCTTCAGGCGCTCGTAGATCTTCATCGCAATGCTGCCTATCGGGGTATGCTTCAGGCCTCATACGGAATCCGGTGTTTCCAAAACAAACAACTGCTCCCCCCCTCTCAAACCAGTTTTTGTTGGGGTGCGTTTGGCTGAGCCATCCAAGAAGCGTACCTGATTTACTCATTTTGGAACACCCCAGTGGGCTGCGGCGCTGGGCCTGAAAGCTCGGAGCAAACCCCCAACCAAGCTCAGTTTTCCTTTTAGCCAAACAGCTAAGTGGGATTCTGCAAGGGGCTGGCCCAAACAGCCGGCGCAAAGCAGCAACGCCTGATAAACGGCATTAGCTGCTTTCGATTTCGGCGTGAGCTGACCAAGAAACTAGGCTTGTAGTTTGCAGATTCATCCGCTCACCGTACACAAGTCGTCTTTTGGACAAACGCAATTCTGGTCAGTGCTGTCCTGTCTCACCTGCACAATCTTCCTTTGACAGGCAGCATTGGAAGCTAGGAGTCGAACATGGAAACAGCCTCAACCTCTCGACTCGCTTTCTAGTTGTGCTGAACATGAAGTTGGACACTGGTGCCGCACGCCTCTTTCAGGTGCTTCCTTGCTGTTCCTTTGTCTCGAAAAGCGTCAACCGCATGGACATGCTGGTACCAAGGACTCCTTAACCCAAACCTTTGAACACGCTTTCTGCTTCAAACAAGCTATACCCCTGTTGCCACGAAGCAGGCTGCTCACACAAAGGGCTGCCGCAAAAGGAGAGAACGTCATAACCCCACAAGCAGACATGCGTTATTTCCCTCCTAGATACTCCTAGGGGTCCTGAGCCTACTCAGGTGGAGATTCAAACTAACAGACGCAAAACACCACGAGCAGGCTGCTCACACAAAGGGGTGCCGCAAAAGGAGAGAACGTTAAAAGCAAAAGCAGACATGCTTCTTTCTTTTTCTTAAATCTCCCTACTCAGGTGAATGAGCAAATCAGTAGATGCAAAACAAAGGCTCTAGTTTATGACGTGCGCATCCAATTTTGCCCCAGGAAAACATGCCCTTAGAGGATCCAAGGGTCACTTAGTCGCCATTGTGAAGGAAACAACTTTGGTTTAGATTCCTGTTCCTGGGCGACAACTAGGGAGACAGGACAAGGCACATTCATCCCATCGAGGAAAGGGAAACACCATATTCGTCGTAAAACGTTGTACTCGATTTGCTTTCAAAACTTCCAGTGGGGTGTATGGCAGCCGGTGATAGATATTCGACTCGTTCGAGTGCACACTGGACGCATGGTGCCGTTGAGGTCCTGGTGGGGAATCCGGTACCTGGGACTTTGTCCATGAACCGAAAGTGATCTAATGCCATTGTCAGTCGCTCACAGTGGTTGCGAACCTGGCATCAAGAATCAACTGCTCCAAACACTCGAATGATCCGTCACCCCTCTCGTAAAATACACTTTGTTTCAAATGCTCATCTTCAAATGTGTCCCAAAATGGCAAAACAATGCCCCTTCTTTCGGATAGTGTATTTCCAGGGAAATCCCAAGAACAATGCTGAAAGTTCAAACACCTTCGTGTTCCAACTGCTAGGTGTGGCCAGCGAAGCCAAGCACATTTTCTGAACTAAAAGTGTCCACATGGGCGTTGGTCGCAGGCTATTTTGCTCATACCCCTTAGTAACTCTGCTGTACCCCTTTCCAAACACCAAGGTTGAAATGATCCGAAGTCTTGGCAAGTAGAGCTAGGGGGTTGAAGGGGCAACGATTTTCAGATACTCGAAGGGTAAATCGTCCTGGCGCAGCGACCCTGCGCTTTCCGCGCTCCGGGCCTGCTTTGCCGTGCTTTGCCTCTGGCAACTCGCAAGCTGCCCCACAAGATTTCGGGGGGGGGGTCAAACATGGAGTTCACCCACCCCCTAGGGGGCACTTGTTGAGGCATTTTGTGCCGCCTATACGGTCCCCTCCCCCCCCCCCCCCAAAAAAAAAGGAAAAAGAATGGAAAACAAACACACAAAAGGCAAAGCTCCATTTGCTCCCCCCGGCAAAGGCGTATAGATTATAGAAGTCACAGCTAGATCAGCCGGGGCGCTAATATACATCGATGACAACGTTTTCTGACCGATTGATGGGGAACGTGCCCGAAGGCCTTGTTGACTTAGGAAGACCTTCAGAGGGCATATCAGAAGGGCAAAAGGACTATCTTGAAGTATCTTCCAACCCAAACCTTGGGAGTCCTTCTGTCTTGATTCGGCTGCTAGCTTCCGTGGGACCCCTTGGTGGGGGAGGAAAAGGACCTCAGTCTCAGATGTTGATGATTTTGGAGCCGACAATTCGGACTAGATTCAGGTGTCTCTGGAGTCATACCGCCGCAAAGGGAAGGGCATCACATCAATACCATCTTTGGGCGGATAGTTCCCAAGGGTCTAAACTCTAAACTGGTCTAATATTTATCACGGGCCGATTCTGGACCCCTGGCCTTTCAGCAAGGGCTACCCATTCCAGACCTTGAGTACCTGAGGGTATCCTTGAACGGTTCACCTTCTGGAAAAACTGATTCTACGCCCTGCCTGCGTGACGGGGCGCGGGGAGCTGCCGAGTACGCTGGGGGCCTTGGCAGTGCTCTTGGCATGACTTTGCGAATGTTGTGCAGAATTCTGAATGTCGGCGGATTAATAAATTTGTCGAACTTCGGGGGTCTGACTGCCCTACTAGTCCTGGGTCAAAGTTACCTGGCAGCTCTTTGATGTGTAGCTTCGAGGCACGCTAGGACCAAACGATGTGATTGGGAGGTCATGCTCTGCAGGAGCTTGGTGGCCGATTGTTGACCTGAACGCAGTTTCGGCTTGAGAGCAGAAGTCTCTGTGATTAGACATCTCCGCGTGACCTGTAAAGTCCGGCAGAGCCGTCGGCAGTTTCAAGCATAGTTTGGAAGGCGCTCCCCGTGCGCTGCTGCCAGCGCTCGCAAGCGCCATCTTCTACTCCCTTCTCCTCAAGTGCACGCATGTGTGAAGTCAATTTAGCTAGCTAACTTGTGAGTAGCCAACTAATTAGCTAGTGGGTTGGTTAAGTAGTTAGCCAGTTCGAGACTACGCCAGGCAACGAGCAAGTCTGCTAGCAAGTTAGTTGGCAAGCCGGCTAGCAAGTCAAACAGCTCCTGAGCTAGTTGGGTAGTTCGCTCAGGTAGCAAGTTAAGTAGCTAGTTGACTAGATAGTTGATTCGACCGTTCGGTTGAAGTGTACGCCAATTGACGAACGTGTAAGTTGGGTCAGCCAAGCTGTTGCATTGGGTTAGACAGCGAAGGTCAACTTTTGATTAGCGAACGCCACTGGTTGCTAAGGCGCCAATGCTAAACAACTCTGAGCCTGGATGGGAACCATCCTGCGCAACAACCTGAACAGGTGTCCCTTCCGGCCCAAATAAAACGCCGGAAAGAGCTCCGGAATCCTGAATTCCGCTCCCAAAGGCCACCTTCTCCCGCGGAATCCGTACCTGAGGTTTGAAGAAGCACTGAGTGCTTGAGAGGTCGACCCGGAAGCGCGCAGAGGCTTCATTTGACGGTCACCAGGCTTTGCACACGGCTGTAACAATGGTCCTGTCGAAGTTGTTCCGGGATCGCTCCGAAGGCGCGGTCAGGCGTCGTGACCGAAGTGGCTTGCGCACATGCGGGAGAGCTGAGTTCTTGCGCAGGGCCAGTTCTCTGCCAGACTCTATTCCCCAGTTTTGCTGTTTAGTAGGTTTTTCTGGCTTTTTCACGCACAGCTCATCCATTCGCAAAGAAGCAGGCTCAATTCGTGCCAGTACTACGGAATTTCTTGTGAACCTGCCTTTGATGATAGGCGAAGGGGAAAAACCAACAAAATAAACAAGCCCCAAAGCCCAACTGAAAAACAGTTGTCTCTGAGGAATCGGGACAGCACCCTGCCACAACACCCTTCAACAGCACCCTGATAGCGCCGGGCAACCGCACTCAGTAACAGCAACAGCACCTTCCAACAGGCAGCAGCACCTGCAACACTAAACTGCAACAGCACCTAGCCACCATTCTGAATCACACTCACACCTTCTAAGTGTTAAGTCTCCTATAGCTCTCAGCTGACTGGGGAAAACTGACAAACAACGACTGAGCAAAACTGAACAAAGCTGGTTCCAGCTGTGGAGCTTTTTGTTTTGTTGCTCAGTTTCTGTTCAGTTATTGCCATATTTTTTGAGCTCTGGACTCAGAGGGAAGCTGCCAGGCTTCAAACCCACATGCGCTTGACATCGCTGTGAACCATTTGGCTTGTGCAAATCCATGGACTGCACAAGAGTCAAGTTTTGGAGGTTTGGACAAACGGGTGGACATGACTCAAAAGTACCGTTACCTGCAATCTATTTCTGACAGCGGCAAGGCACAAACTAATTTCTCCTATCAACCCTCGAGACATCCTGCTTTGGACATAGCTTGTGTTTTCAAACTCAGTATATTTTGCTCACACCATGTTCCCACATGCATAGTAGACTATGGGACATATCAAGTCAGTTGGCGCCTCTGATCGCCCATGCATTGCGTAACAGATGGCCAAATTTCCTTTCGCAAGCGTGCGGCCACAGATGGAAATTCTTGCCAACTGACAAAGGTGCCTCTCCTGCCTCGATAAAACAGGAACTAATTTGCAAATCACCAGTCAAAAACAAGCCATGCATTCAGGGGTAGACCGTTATGCCGGATCCGAACGTTTCGGCCTGACCATCGAGCTGCCCGGAGCGAACATGGCCTACTGAGCAATACCCAGTTTCCGAGCTGCTGGAAAGCAGCGAAGCCTTCTGGGGTGCACCTTTAGTGAACCCGCCACGCCAAAAGGAAAAGGAGGTGCTCCCATCCGGCACAGAACTCTGAGATACCTCTCCAGTGGCTTAAGAAAGCGGAGCCCCGGGCAAAATGAAACCAGCCGTTGATGGACGTTTCATTACGCAAGCGATCCTTCGTGTTGCAGTCACCACAGCTTGCTTAAGGGACTTGGTTGTGAGTGGCCAAAGGGAAAAAAGTGAAACCCAATTGGGCGCGTGTCAACACCTTGTCCTTCTCACGGTAAGGGCCAATTGATATGTTCATGGTATGCTTCAACAAGCCTGAATATCAACCCTACTGAACCTCAGCTAGTTGGGGCAAATCTCGCAGGCACCGAAAATCTTAAACACCCCGCGCCATAAGGAAATGACAGGTTGACAAGACCATCCCAAAGGCTGACAACACAGCATGTAAGTCATGGCTGCAGATTGCCAGCCAAGCACTTGGTTGGCCTGCAATGGCTATGCCTTGCTTATGTTTTCATAGCTGACTATGGTTGGTGCCTCACTCACCCCAACACTGGCTCAGCCCGTTGCCGCTTTCCCGGCCTCGACGCGGGCGGGCAGGAAGCCAAGCTGCAAGAAACAAACCCGAGCCTAGACTCCTTCGTGCAATCAGAAGTGGGTGGACGAAATCCTGCACCACCCAGAAAGCTCTGGAAGGATGACTCCCCTGTAAATACCAAACAAACAAGGGCTTCCCATGGTTTCAAAGTGGTGCAGGATTTCGTCCATCCACAGTACGACTCAATCTGACGCACCAAATGTGATAAGTTAGCCTCTTCGAAGTGAGAAGTTGGCACCACTATCTGGGTGCATGCCAATGTGCAACCAGTTCAAAGCTGAGCCTACACCCGGTCTTATCCAGACTTTGGTTTTGTGGCCCCCGGTTGGGGACGAAGGGACCCCCTATAAAGTAGTTGAATTTTTTTTCGGAGGTCCCTTTGGTCCCTTTGCTTCGCCAAAAACGTCGGAGGGTCAACCACACATTCACACTGGTCTACTTTCCCCGATGGCAA